CAGTGCGTCTTTTGACATTATCGATCATGGTCTTCTGCTGGAAAAACGTATCCGTTATGGCTTTACACCCCCTGCTATATTGTGGATAAAGAGTTACCTGTCTAACAAAACACAGAGGGTGTTCTTTAATGGAAGCCTCTCCAACACAATCCAGGTAGTATCAGGAATTCCCCAGGCAGCTGTCTAGACCTCTTACTTTTTTCAATCATTACTAACGACATGCCACTGGCTTTGAGTAAAGCAAGTGTGTCTACGTATGCGGATGACTCAACACTATACACGCCAGCTACTACAGCGACTGAAATGACTGCAACACTTAACAAAGAGTTGCAGTTAGTTTCAGAGTGGGTGGCAAGGAATAAGTTAGTCCTAAATATTTCAAAAACTAAAAGCATTGTATTTTGGACAAATCATTCACTAAACCCTAAACCTCAACTAAATCTTGTAATAAATTATGTGGAAATTGAGCAAGTTGAGGTGACTAAACTGCTTGGAGTAACCCTGGATTGTAAACTGTCATGGTCAAAACATATTGATACAACAGTAGCTAAGATGGGGAGAAGTATGTCCATAATAAAGCGGTGCTCTACCTTCTTAACAGCACTATCAACAAGGCATGTCCTACAGGCCCTAGTCTTATCACACCTGGACTACTGTTCAGTCGTGTGGTCAGGTGCCACAAAAAGGGACTTAGGAAAATTGCAATTGGCTCAGAACAGGGCAGCACAGCTGGCCCTTGGATGTACATAGAGATTTAGCATTAATGTCAATCTCTCCTAGCTCAAAGTGGAGGAGAGATTAACTTCATCACTACTTGTCTTTATGAGAGGTATTGACATGTTGAATGCACCGAGCTGTCTGTTTGAACTACTGGCGCATAGCTCGGACACCCATGCATACCCCACAAAATATGCCACAAGAGGTCTCTTCACAGTCCCCAAGTCCAGAACAGACTGTGGGAGGCTCACAGTACTACGTAGAGCCATGACTTCATGGAACTCTATTCTATATCAAGTAACTGATGCAAGCATTAAAATTAGATTTAAAAAACAGATACAAATACACCATATGGAACAGCAGGGACTGTGAAGCAACACATGGATACACACACGTACACATGGATTTTGTATTGTAGATATGTGGTAGTGGTGGAGTAGGGGTCTGAGGGCACAGTGTGTTGTGTAATCTGTGAATGTATTTTAATGTTTTAAAAATTGTATAACTGCCTTAATTTTGCTGGACCCCAGGAAGAGTAGCTGCTGCCTTGGGAGCAGCTAATGGGGATCCATAATAAATACAAATACAAATTATAAACAGAGTGACCGACTAACCGTCATGGCCAAAGCGATGATCGTCATGTGACTGGTATGAGTGTGTGACCATCCACCGTTCACAGGTCGAGGTGGGCCTAATGATGTCATGGTTGCTGAATATGATTGCTGCTCACACACCTTTCATTCTTAGTGGATGATATTTTAGATTTTCGGATGCATATAGATATGATTTTCTTGTTGGAACTCCTTCCGGATGCAATATAGGATGTACATATCCCAACCAGAAGCCATGGATTACAGACAACATCCGCACTGAGCTAAAGGCTAGAACTACCACTTTCAAGGAGCAGGACACTAATCCGGACGCTTATAAGAAATCCCGATATGCCCTCCGACAAACCATCAAACAGGCAAAGCGTCAATACAGGACCAATATCGAATACTATTACACCGGCTCTGACGCTCGTCGGATGGGGCAGTGCTTGCAAACTATAATGGATTACAAAGGGAAACCCAGCCACAAGCTGCCCAGAGACGCGAGCCTACCAGATGAGTGAAATACCTTCTATGCTCGCTTCGAGGCTATCAACACTGAACATGCATAAGAGCACCAGCTGTTCCGGGCAACTGTGTGATCACGCTCTCTGTAGCCGATTTGAGTAAGACCTTTAAACAGGTTAACATTCACAAGGCCGCAGAGCCAGATGGATTACCAGGATTTATACTCAGAGCATGTGCTGACCAGCTGGCAAGTGGCTTCACTGACATTTTCAACCTCTCCCCTTACCGAGTCTGTAATACCTACATGTTTGAAGCAGACCACCATAGTTCCTGTGCCCAAGAATGCCATGGTAACCTTTCTAAATGACTATCGCCCCATAGCACTCACATCTGTAGCCATGAATTGCTTTGAAAGGCTGGTCATGGCTCATATCAACACCATCATTCCAGACACCCTGGACCGACTCCAATTCGCATACTGCCCCAACAGATCCACAGATGACACAATTTACATTGCACTCCACACTGCCCTTTCTCACCTGGAAAAAAGGAACACCTACGTGAGAATGCTGTTCATTGACTACAGCTCAGCGTTCAACAACATAGTGCCCTCCAAGCTCATCACTAAGATAAGGACCCTGGGATTAAACACGTCCCTCTGCAGCTGGATCCTGGACTTCCTGATGGGCCGCCCCCAGCTGGTGAGTGTAGGCAACAACACATACACCACACTGTTTGTCGACGACACGACGTTGGTAGGCCTGATCACCAATGACGATGAGAAAGCCTACAGGTAGGTCAGAGACCTGGCATTGTGGTGCCAGGACAACAACCGCTCCCTCAATGTCAGCAAGAAAAAGGAGCTGATCGTGGAATACAGGAAACGGAGGGCCTAGCACTCCAACATCCACATCAACAGGGTTGTAGTGGAGCAGGTTGAGAGCTTAAAGTTCCTCTGTGTTCACATCACTAAGGAATTATCAAGGTCCACACACACCAACACAGTCGTGAAGAGGTCACGACAACGCCTTTTCACTCTCAGGATGCTGAAATGATTTGGCATGGGCCCTCAGATCCTAATAAAGCTCTACAGCTGCACCATTTAGAGCATCTTGACTGGCTGCTTCACCGCTTGGTATGGCAACTGCTTGGCATCCGACCGCAAGGTGCTACAGAGGGTAGTGCGTACGGCCCAGTACATCACTGGGGCCGAGCTCCCTGTCATCCAGGACCTCTACACCAGGCAGTGTCAGAGGAAGGCCCCTAAAAATTGCCAAAGACTCCAGCCACCCAAGACTGTTCTCTCTGCTACCGCACAGCAAGCGGTACCGATGCACCAACTCTGGAACCAACAGGACCCTGAACAGCTTCTAACCCCAAGCCATAAGACTGCTAATGGTTAGTCCGGGTAGCTATTGGTTAACTATTTAACTCTGCATTGACCCTTTTTGCACTAATTATTTTGACTCATCACATACGCTGCTGTTACTGTTTATTATCTATCCTGTTTCCTAGTCACTTTATCCTACCTATATGTACATAACTACCTCAATTGCCTTGTACCCCTGCACATTGACTCTGTACTGGTACCCAGTGTATGTAGCCAAGTTGTCGTTACTCATTGTGCATTTATTCCTTGTGTTATTGTTTTTCTATTATTTATCTTTATTCTCTTTGCATTGTTGGGAAGGGCCCGTAAGTAAGCATTTCACTGTTAGTCTATGCCAGTTGTATACGAAGCATGTGACAAATAACATTTGATTAGATTTGAGGAGCCCAAATTTTCTATAACATTAGGCTAATGTTGAGACATAAACCAATCGTAATTCGACATATTGAAAATGTTTTTATTTGTCCACTTACAATAAATTAATATAAACCTTTCAAGGAAACATTGTGATGCAATTTGGTGTAAGATCAAACATTTAAGAAAAGCACAAACAATAAGTTTAAACATGTCACAAACAGACCAGCGGGTACGAGAATGCTTTATCTACACAAAACATCCTAGAACAGGTTACTTAAAGGTTCATTTTCTTGTCTTATAAATGTTACTACCCCCATTTTACACGTGGCCAACACATGCAGATGAGTCTGATTATGTAGAAATGTGTTTGTTTGTTTCTTTTTCACTCTTCTTTCTTAAAGGCCCAGTGCAGTCAAAAACGTGATTCTCCTGTGTTTTATATATATATTCCACACTATGAGGTTGCATTCATACTGTGAAATTGTGAAAATTATGATAATTACCTATTAGTGTAAGGGCTGTTTGAAAAGACTGCATGACATTTCAGCCTGTTTTGGTAGGAAGGAGTTTTGGACTTCCTGGTGACATCACCAGGCGGTAAATTAAGTAATAGACAAATAAGAAAGAGTTCCAAGTTTCTCTGCCAATAACAGCAAATGCTCAGCTTTCCCCTCCCAATCAGACCACTCCCAGACATTCCTATGCACTCTATGCACTTCCCAGCATAGATGTAAAAACAAACCTTAGATTGCTGGGCCTATATATATACCAATTAGAATGCATGCCCAGTACATTTCTTCATAGTAGCCTATGCTAGTGTGGATATTAGAACAGAGTCAGAGTCTACATGACAGTCCTTAAACCATTTCCATTCTCTTAAATCCATAAGGAGAAGTGAATGAGTGTGCATTTCAGGAAAGAGGCAGCAGAAGAAAAACAGGCTATTTCAGGGGTCAAAGACACTGCACTGCGCATGCGTCAGACCTATTCAAACATGCAGTACATGTGGCATTTAGAAATCTGATTCCCAACTGAATTTATAGCATAACACAGCTTCATCTGAACAATTTAGAAAACAAATAAATTCACTGACATGATATCTTACTTTCCTACAGCGTGCAACAGCCACACCTAATGAAAAACACAAAACGACAAGGATTTTTGGCCAAATAATTACAATATAATTATGAATAGGTGATATAATAAATGTTTTTGAAAATGGACGTTAAGAGAAAGAGACATTCTGAGACGCAGGTAAATTAGCCTATTTCTCGAGTCCACTTCACCACATTTACAAGCCAATGTCATCTGTGTTTTAATGATGATATGTGAACACAACTCAGACTCCAGTCTGGCCATTCTATTTCCTTGTTATTCTCATGAAGTACTTTGAGTCCTGAGTAGTCTTCACACAGGTATTTCTTAAAATGGCGGGGTACAGCAAAAAGCAAAACAAAGGGGGTAATCTTCAAACGTCATTAAGTGAAACTCATGGACACTGTGTGCTCGAGCGCTTTGCGTCGCAGTGAGGCGATGCTTGTCCCTCTCCACATGTCACTGTCCGGAGAGCTACACAGCTGTGGCGAGCCTGACACGTTCGTTGGACCAGAGATGGAGGCGGGCATCCCGGGGAATGGGGGCTGGTAGAGGTGGGACTGCAGGCCTGAGCCGTTGGAGGAGAGGCCGTTGGAGAGGCCCATGGAGTTGTGCTGCGGGCCGGCTCCGAGGCTGCACTGGGAAAGGGACTGGGCCATCGCCTGCTGGCGGCCAAGGGCAGGGGGGAGCTGGAGCTGGGTCACCCCGTGCATCCCCGTGGCCCAGTGGGAGTCGTTGGCGTGGAAGGAGCACAGGCTGTTCTCCATGGCGGCCGCAGCAGAGAACTGAGGCAGGCCGTGCGTTGGTAGCAGAGTGCCAGGGGCGCGGAAGACGTTGGTGGTCTTCTTACGCTTCTTCCACTTGGCGCGGCGGTTCTGGAACCACACCTGGAGAGAAAAGGAAAGAGAGCGTGAGATAGGTTAGGCTACATAACACATTTAAAACATATAGCATTTATTCTTATAGGCTAAACTTGGAGAGGGAAGATAGACTGATATCCAGAAGTCTTACAAATTACTATATTTGTTTTTAACATTTTATTTCATCAGAGACTAAACCTGGATAAATAAGGTAACATTTCAAAAATAAACATTAGAAATTGGTCCTCATGTTCTTTAATATTCTTTAATATTGTAATGAACCTTGCCTAGGGGTTAACCCTTATTGGAGCAGTGATAAGCAATAGTTAGCAGTGGTTGCGGATTCGAGACCTGCAAGGGGCGTTACACTGAATCTTGTCTAGGTAGGCATCCCATATTGGAGCAGTGGCCAGCAGGTATGCCTATGGGCCGGGTTCGAGACCCACACTTCGCAATTATCGCTACAATAAATTGCCTGAGTCATCATCGAAATAAATAGTAATTGCATAGGATCTCTGTGGTCTATGGACCGTTTAAATTAAATCCATTACTATAACACGGAATTCGTTTCTTAAAACAATGTTCTAAACCAACGTTGCACCGAAGCAGCGGTTGGCGTTAAGAGTGGTTAAAACTGTATTTACGTAATAAAAATACTCATAAATCAGTGGTTTAAATAATTGTTAAAACTCTGTAAAAACACACACACGCAGGTTACTTGAAGGGTCTCATGGATAGAGCTTTATAAAGATTTAATCGCTATTCCAGGCATGATTAATGTGTTCACGGGTCCGAGATTCTGTGCCGCTGTATTAAATCTAAAATCTCGCTCTCATTCCCTTCAGCCAGCCGTGAAACGCCGAGCGAATCCATTACACTCGAGGGGAAAGAAAATGCAATTTCTCATTCCATTAACAAAGTACAATATAGTCTCGCACAGCGTCCTATTAAGACGTAGCTGATAGACCATTCCAGAGGACAGCAACAAATAGGCGCGCGAAGTTACACTGCAGATCTAATGCGCTGTTTGCAGAAATGTAGGTTTAGATATCAGATAGGCCTGCTTACCTACTGCTTTAGTGTTTGTGCATAATATAAAAACGACTTAATTATAGCCATCACTAATGATATACTTTATTGCAATGAGGGTAATTTGCATGAATTTCACATCACTGGTTAATAATCCGTTAATTTATGAATAAGACTGAAATAGGTTGATAATAATGTGTTTGGTTTTACTATAGTGTCTTAGAAATCCAGCATACATCGACGTAATTAAACACATCAAATAAAATGTTTTTATGTTATAGGCCTAGACTATGCCATTCTAAATTAATAAAATATGTATGACGTTTTTGACGCACTAAAAGTATAGGCTAGAGACAGAAACGAATGTATATATTCAAATTGATAACATGCAGGCATCCCTGTAGGTTACACGTATAAATGTTTCCTAAAACATTATGGCACAGTGCATAACCTATGGAAAATGTCATTATTTCTCTGTGACGTTAAATGTGCATTTCGATTTGTATGTAAGCCCTCCTGTGGCTCAGTTGGTAGAGCATGGCGCTTGCAACGCCAGGGTTGTGGGGTCGATTTCCACGGGGGGCCAGTATGAAAAATGTATACATTCACTAACTGTAAGTCGCTCTGGATAAGATCGTCTGCTAAATGACTAAAATGTATGTCGCTAGGCCTAAATACAAACAGCGCTTCTGTACATTTGCACTATAGGCCCTACAGTTGTGTGGTATACACTGTTTTACTGAATGAGAAGAAAGTTCCAAGGCATCGTTTTCCTTTCAAGATTAACTGTCCCCCATTATTTCAGGAATAGCCTACTATAGACTGCCACAAATGAGTTTTGTTTTACAACGAGAAATCGCTTGACTGCAGCTTTTCCTGGGAGCGTCAACAACAAATATTGTTTAGAAAATAATCGAGTAAATATTATAAATCATAAAATAGCATGTTTCTTATTCAATTAAACCCATTTCAACTGGATTGTTTACAAGGAATAGCGCTGTCATTGGTAGAACTGTGGTTTGGCATGATATTAGTCGTGGTGCATACGCTGGGCAACAGAAAGCGTTCGGGAGGTGCACCAGCACCATGGACAGCGCTCCTGACCCTGATGTGCCTTTCAACTTTTCAATCACCTGCCCCTTAGCCTATAACATAACGAAATCAATGTTATTGTGTATCAGTTCTTCTTTTTATATTGCTTATTAGCAGAATAAGTTTACTTGTTTTCTTATATGGGTGCAACATTTGCTTGGATACATGTTCATACATATTGGACAATTTGTTATTCTACTCATTGCGTTATTGACATTTTGTATTGCCTAGTTCTAACCATTTAAAATAAATATATAGCAAGGCTAAATCATTTTTTAAAATGTTGATGGGCTATTAAAATGTCATATCAAAGGCCTTCTATTGGCTATATCAAAGGGTTAATTGCATAGTTAGGCTAATATACACATTTTGTAAAACCAATACATTTGTATATCATTTTGGCTTATTCGTTTTAGAAATATATAAAACATATGTTTGTATGAGTAGCCTAATCATTATGTGATTCAACATGTTTATGATATCAATTTAACAGGACATTTTGGGGGTAAATGTAACCTAAAGAAACATTAATACTCAGGACACAATTTACCTGCACACGGGATTCGGTGAGGCCGACCCTCAGCGCCAGCTCCTCACGCATAAAGATGTCCGGGTAGTGGGTCTTGGCGAAGCTCCGTTCCAGCTCGTTCAGCTGAGCCGGGGTGAAGCGTGTTCGATGCCGCTTCTGTTTCTGCTGGTTGGCAGTCTGACTAGAGTTTTGCTGCTGTTGCTGCTGCTGTTTCTCAGTGTCCTTACTGTTTACCGGCATGCCCGGCGGGTTGGATCCACCCGTGATGATTTCGTCCCCGGGCAGCAAGGTGGTCCCCTCCACGGTGTCCTGGCCAGGGGCCATGTCTCCCTGGTCCACCACCCCGCCACCCAACCGGCACTTCATCGGGTCTCGGTGCCCCAGCAGCTCCGCAGCATCCTTCATCCCTGCGGAGGGGGAGTGTGGGGGGGGGGGGGGGCGGGGGGGGAGAAAGAGAGAGATGGCAACACAGTTAGCGCTGCAGAGAACAACTCTGAGACCCTTGAGTGAGGGATGAAACACAATCAGAAGTTACTGAAATGATGCATTTGAAGAACGATCTTACATTTGTCTATGTAGGTTAGAATTTTAATTCCCTGGTGTGAAATGTAAAATGTTGTTTGTCAAATTACAGGCAATTGTTATTCATACGAGTCCTCTTAAAGTGTTACAAATATAATCCATCCTCTGCTTGACTCAAAAATTCAATATAATCAACATCAACATTTCAGAATGTACACATCAAATTAAGGCAGGACTGAAACAAATAGTTTTTGACACAATTCGTTTACGCATGCAACGGGCTGACATCAAAGACAAATGGGTCAATTTAATTTCATAACGTTGTTAGATTAGAAATTGCTCCAGCTTACAGTATAGTTGAAGACCGGAGTTTGGCGATGATAACTCACCGAGCCGAGCATCCAGGAGATCTGTGTGAGAGAGCATTGCGCACCGCTCCAGTGCGAAATATGGTCCACCTTACAAATGTGGTCTACCTCACAACTTTAAATATATATTTTTTAAGTAGGCTTTATATCCTCCAAATGAAAGAAAATTCTATTTGTGCTCAAAAAGGAGGTCCCTTGCATTATAATGTCCTTTAGAGCGATGGGGAGGCACTTAATAGTTGAAAGAACCCATGAGCTTCTTCATATAAGAGCCAATCAGAATAGAACTCTGGAAATGTCAGCGCCACGACCCCCTATCGCCAGCCACTCACACACATCCACGCCCTAGCAGCAACTATTTCCCGTCATGTTCTGCACTGATTCATTCGTTTTTTATCCTTCTAGTTTACCTTTTAGAACGACTTTATCTATAAACTACCACAAACCACCCTTAATAGCTTTAACCCCGAATTACTCGGATATTTGTTTTGAAATTGCACATAATTGAAACGTGTCCATAGGTCTATTATTGCAGTTCATCATAATAACAGAGTAACAACACAACAGATAACACATACTTTTGTTGAAGAGAAGGGATATGAACCCAATTGGATTGAAGTATAGCCTATAGTAGACTTTTACAGACTACTCTTTAAATCAGCCATGTAATTTCAAAGCTGTCACAATTTGGGTAATTTTAATCCTTCCCTGAATCAACCAACAACAAAGTTTAGATTATAATTCAATCGCAGTCATTTTCAAGACCATTAGGGATTAGGCATTTGTGTAATTAGAGATGAATCTACACGCTTTCATCACTGTTATTAGAGTAAAATCAGAGTGAATTTGTACTAATTTATCTGTTGAGACGGCGCTGTCAGGAGAAAGGGGGGTTTATTGTAAATTGTAGCTGAGGAGATAAGCAGCACGTCTGTGTTTCCGTCCATGCTGGTTTAACATGCGCTACAAAGACCCCTCTCTCCCTCTATCCTAAATAAAAAATAATATTCCCGCAAGGCATGTGGTTGGTGAAAACAAATCGTCGAAATAAATAAATGGGAAGAGATGGATTTAAGTGCAGTTACTGGTCGGCTGCTTTATCTCGATCTACATTTCATCAACACCGGAGCAATTCATGTTATTTATTTCGCTCAAACAAAACCTGACGTAAATAATTTAGCTCATTAAGCTTACCATGAATTTGACAGTAATTTACAGGTAGCTCGGTGACAAGTAAAATTGTGTTCAATATTACAGTACACCTACTGTAATATAAATGCGGTATCAAAGCAAGTACTGTGTAATGACACACAGTAGCCTACACTAAAATTGATAGTATTGTACTGTAAAGAAAAGTTAATACTACCTTAATCGGAATGAATTAACTAATTAATGGATGAACTAATGAAAATGTGGTGTTTTAGATCACTTGCACTTCTAGAGGCCTTAACAAAGGCTTCCAAACTGGCAGCAACTACGGGGCAAAACAGATCCAAAGGACATGGCAAAATGCTCAAACATTTAAGGTTAAACCTTAAATGTTTAAATTACAGTGGGTGTACTGTAAAAAAGACTCGCTGCCACTCCAATCTGTCCCTTATACATTTTAAATTGATGGGGCACTACAGCCACATAGGAGTTAAATTGGTACAGCAACAAATATAGCTTCTTCCAAGGCACATCTCAAAATATGTTAGTCAGAAACAACAATAGCATGTGCCCACTAGTGGTCAGGTTTTTGGCGCTCCAAAGATGCTGTATTCTGTGGGGTGGATTCTGTGGGGTGGAATTACAGTACCATTCGAAATACAGCAATTTCCCACAATGCACCATAATTTACAGTATGCTGCAGTAAAACGTTTCAGAGTCTTTTACTGTTGATAATACCTAAAATTACCGTAAAAATTACAGTTTTCTGTTACAGTGCAGCCTATATTGGAGAGAAGGGGCTTTGGCAGCTCAGCTGTCGGGGTTAGTTGTGTGAATAGACCACCGCCGCCGGGACTAAATGGCTTCTTTACAGACGCACAAAGGAGGCGTCCGAGCGAGAACCCTCACTGCTCGGCCCCTTTCTCCCCCTCTCCGGGATGACACCGGCTCAACTCATCTTTTATGCTGCGGCAATCTGTTAACAAGACCGGCACTGGTGGCATCAGCCAGATGTATACGGATGGGATCGGCAAAGCATGGAAACTCAGGGGAAAAGGTCTGGTGGTCCATTTAATGGTAAGATATAAAGATAGCCTATAAGAAGAAGAAAAAATCTGAGAATCAGGAACACACAGAGAGGAATTTCGATGCAACTGTCTGCAGGATTGGGAGAGATAAATCACACGGTGGGAAGCGGTGGATCCTCCATGTGAGAGAGTCTGGAGGAGAGCTGGGCGGTCTGTAGGCTACACTATCAGAGTTTGCTCCTTATCATTATCAATTAATCTACAGCATGAGCGAGGACTTTCTATAACACATGCCCTTATTGGAAAACGGTGTAAATGGAATTATTTGTAATTGTGTCTAGGCCTACTGTAATTTGTGGTACTGTATTGAAAAAATAAGTAATATGATGCTGTTTGCACCACAAAAAAATATAAATAAATAATATATATATATATATATATATATATATATATATATATATATATATATATATATATATATATATAAAGTGTTCTCTGACAATCAAATTTAGTCAGATGACAAAAACTGATTTCCTCTCTGCAAAGGCATGCCTAGCTCTCTCCATAGCTTTACAAAAACCCGCAAAAAGGTTCTGTCTGCAAGTAAAATATGGGCCGATTTGCCTAATGGCTTGATAAATTCTCCCTATTTCGCTATAAGGCCCCAGCAATCCCTGCATACTTGCCTTTGTCTTTCGCACTGAAAGATATAGAACCGAACTTTTTTTCTGGTAGGCTATACCCAATTTCACAAGCTTATTGAATTCTGCATTTGAAAATGATGACAAAGAAAAACGTGCATGCAAATATTCGATGCCATGGTAGTTAAATTAATTTAATCAAAGTAGTAAGCATCTAAGCCTTTGAAGACATGTCTGTGAGAACTGCTACAAGGCGAAGAAACACTGGCTACATCAGAGGAAATCATCAACATTTCACACGCAAACATGTCACGATCATTACAAATAGCAATAACAACAATAATGTAATAATAATAATACGAAAATAATAATAATAATAATAATAATAAAAATAATAATAATAATAATAATAATACGAAATAACAAATAAAAATATGTTCCAACTACAGGCCTGGCAAATGATGGAATTTGTGTTTATAAGCCATAACATTATTATTATTATTATTATTATTATTATTATTATTATAAGTAGGCCTATTATTATTAGTAGTATTAGTAGTAGTATTAATCACCAAAATGTTGTTTTTGTTACAAGATAATAGCCTAAAAATATGAATAGTTTAGTTTTATTCCAATATACCTTCTCCATAAATTGTCCAATGCGTTGTTATGGCTGTAATAAATATAAGAACCTGATAAAAGTGGGTTTACATCTCATTCAGCCTTTGTAACTGGACCACATCAATCTTCCACAGTGAAAATGCTCTCTCACACACACAATCGTCCCTGTTTAATGCAGCGCATCTGAGGGTGGAATGGATGTTTACACGCGTCCTGCGGATGAGAAGACACTTTTTAATGGAAGCGCACCAAAAACAAATGCAATTCTGTTAAGCAATTTCAGATCAAGAATTCGGTGTCCTCCCTACTCAGATTCTTTGTAATTGACTGCGTTGCGAGTTCTGTCATTTCAGCCATTGTTCAATTTACCCAGATTCAGATGAACTCGTGGATACCATTTTTATGTCACTGCAATGAAGGAAGTTAGTGGTAGTTTCGCGAGCCAATGCTAACTAACGTTAGCGCATTGACTGGAAGTCTACCGGTATGGTAGAATACAGTGAGCTCCAAAGGTTTTGGGACAGTGACACATGTGGATGTATCATTTCCCATCCAAAGTGCTGGGGTACAGAGCCAAAACAACAAAAAATGTCCAAATACTTTTGGAACTCACTGTATGCTACCATACCTGCAGACTTCCAGTCATTGCTCTAATGCTAGTTAGCATTGACTCACGAAACTACCGCTAACATCCTTCATATCATTTAAAATCTCTGAGGTTAAAGTGCAGACTGTCAGCTTTAATTTGAGGGTATTTTCATCCATATCTGTTGAACCATTTAGAAATGGCAGCACCTTTTATACATAGTCCCCCCCATTTTATGGGACCCAAAATATTGGGACAAATTCACTTATATTAAAGTAGTCAAAAATTCAGTATTTGGTCCCATATTCCTAGCACGCAATGATCCAATTTGTATGTCCCTCTGGATAAGAGCGTCTGCTAAATGACATAAATGTAAATGTAAATGTATTACATCAAGCTTGTGACTCTACAAACTTGTTGGATGCATTTGCTGTTAAGGATGTGTTTCAGATTACTTTGTGCCCAATAGAAATGAATGGTAAATTATGTATTGTGTCATTTTGAAGTCACTTTTATTGTATACAAGAATATAATGTTTCTAAACACATCTACATTCATGTGGATGCTACCATGATTATGGATAGTCCTTAAAAAATCATAAATAATGATGAGTGAGAAAGTTACAGATGCACAAATATCATACCCTCCAAGACATGCTAACCTCGCACCAAAACAATAACAGGGGAGGTTAGCATTTTTGAGGGGGGTATGATATTTGTCTATCTGTATCTTTCAAACTCATTATTATTCACGATTCATTCAGGATTATCCGTAATATGCTGTGAATATGGGACTAAATGCTAAACTTTGACTACTTTAATACACATAAGTTAATTTTCCCAATACTTTTAGGTCCCCTAAAATGGACTATGAACATTTACATTTACATTTTAGTCATTTAGCAGACGCTCTTATCCAGAGCGACTTACAGGAGCAATTAGGGTTAAGTGCCTTGCTCAAGGGCACATTTACGTCATTTAGCAGACGCTCTAGAACAAAAAGTGCTGTAATTTCTAAACGGTCCACCTGATAT